AGATGACTTCTGGCATAGCAAGGTTTTCCAAGGATGTGACAACACGCAAACTGTAACACTGCTGAGAAAGCAAAAGCCCTTTTTAAGGACATACTTATACCACAAACCTGTATTCTTACTTCTAAAAGCTCGGTGGTCTTTTTTTTCAAGGTGGGAGAGGAGTGCTGTTAGGTGCATTGTATTAGTACAAAGCATCACTTTTCGGCTACTGCTGTATTGGCTCAGGAACAGCAGAGTACGCTTCTGTAACCGCACAGGACCCTCAGCTCCCACATGGTTTACGTCTCTTTTCTAAGTGTGTGAAATACCTAATAAATGTTACTCTTCCCAAATGGACTGCTTTCTCTCTTCCTTGGTGGGCTTTCACTGCTTGATTTCAAGTGAAGGTCTTTGCAACTAGTAAGCAGCACGTTTGTAAAACAGGAGCATTAAGTTACAGGCCTGATCTAGTCATTATTAAATCAGCAGGCACTGAATTAAATTCAATTTTCTATTATATCCCACAAAAATCTCACAGTGGAAACACCTGCATTACAAATATTATAGGACGTGACTCCACTTGTTAGCAAAATGTTTCTATTTATAGCAACGGGAAGAAATCAGAGCTGTATCCATAAAACATGACCACAACATAACAGACAGAATCAATCAGCAATTGTTCCTATTGCTAGCGTTGTGATTTCCAGTGCTGACCCATTACAAAGGGATATCTCACTTTCCTTTATAAGCTTCTCCCTTCAACCTTCTCTCACAGAATATAAATGTCATTTGGAAGCTTGAAACCGAAATGTTTTTCTTACCAAATGCTATTTTCCTTCATCATATGCTGAGAATGAATGGTTCTTCTTGAACATTCAGCTGCTAAAGAGAAAGAAAAACGCGTATCAAATTTTCATTCTGTCCACTTTGACAAAGGCTCTTTTTCATGTTAAGGCTTAAAGGGAAATGAAGACGCTAAACCTCAAAATATAGATGCAGTCGGACCGATTGCTCTACCTGTGCAGATTCATGATACTCCTTTTAATGGATTTCTTCAGAAAATGAGTCGAAGAGGAAATTATGCAGATGCATAAAGAGCAGAGTATACCACAGGGAAAATGCTGGTAGAATAATGAGAGTTGGGATCCTAGCGCAGTCCTATTTTGAATATTTTGCCATGCCTGTCTTCAGTGACATCTCAGTCAACAACCGAATACGGGTGTGAACAGACTGCTTCTCTAGCTGGCATGTCACTGGGGATTGTCACCAGTGCTTAAAAGGTAAATTACCCTGAAATGAAAGATTTGAAGGAGTTGTGCAAAACTTCAAATCACTTTCTGGATGTCAAAATTACTGGGAATATTATGGCTTGCTAAAATAAAAAAATGTCGGATGATCTAATATAAAGCTACCTCGGATAAAGAAAGATTTGGGGAATTTTCTGGTTCTTACCTGGCAACAGCGCTTAGACAAAGTACTTTAGGAAAATATATTAAAACTATGTCAATTCCTTGTGCTATTCTTCTAAGAAAATGTTAAGCTTATTGCAAACAGAACTAGTTTTAAGAAAGCATTTGAACCTTGGACAAGCCATCCTTTCTGCTTCTTAGCTGCGCAGCCTTCCCTGAAGATTTGCCCAGTACTTCAGTCTACATGTTTCTATGAAACATCAGTGACAACCGTATCATGCAGAACTTTGGGGGTTTATGTATACAAAACACATTTTAGAGGCATTTAGTACTGCACGAGTTTTATTGAAGAATGAATAAATAAAACAGCCTTGCTAATTAAGCTGCTCTGGAAATAGTAATCAATTGAATTTCAGGTGTCAAAGCAGAGTAAGATTATAAAATATGCTTCAGAAGAGTGCTTAAACTAATGTTATTTTAAATGTATAGTTTTTAACCCAGCTCTGAAGCACTCTGGGAGCTACTTTTTAAATGTCTTCTGAGTACCACTGTTAACTGCTTCGTAAAAGGAAAGGAAAACAAATTTCAAGCACTGTTTATGGAAGGGGATTTAAGGTCAAATAATGCATTGCACAAAACACCAAATCATTCACTGTTGGTGAAACACTGTAGGAGAACATTATCCAACACAACACTGACACGTGCTAACTGTTACAACCTAATAAATACACACGTAAGCGCAGGGCAAAAAATTATTTTAAAGTAGCCATCACCAGGTCTCTAATAAAATTCTGTTACATTGACTTTCTATGATACAAAAATAATAATTATTATTACTACTAATAACAACCTTTAGAATAATAGGTGTAGTACAACACATTGCTCACTATACAAATACTCAGTCCATTGGTGAGAGACTGCGATTGAAGTCGTTGCCTGTTCTCACACAGCAGCTCTATAAATGCCTGGCTGTTACATTAACACATCACGGATAATTGCTTTTACTGTAGTTACTTTAAAGTATCTGTTAACAAAAAGCAAGAAATTGCCCAAGAAATGGCTTGGTTTGTACATATTTTATCTATTATATTACAGGAGCATCTTAAGCAAGGATGACGCTCTGCTGCTCTTGGCACTGTACAAATAAGTAAGTCGATAGTCTCTGAAATGACCGATACAAGAAAGCGCACTGCATAGCTACTGTAAATTCTAGCTTCTTACATAAACTATCTTATGTGTACCAGGTATGAATGGCTTGCATAGTTGCACAGTAATAGTTATTCACATCGGGGTTTTTACACTATTCTTATAATAAGGTCAGCTAACACTCAGACCAGCAGTCTGCTTTTTAAGAATCCACAAACAATTCATACGCTGTTAACCAGATATTGCTCATACATTTAAATTACAGCGGAGAAACAGGCTATCATTTAACTTATATTAATTGTAAAATACACTGATTTATCAAAACATTAATTGTACTCCATATTATTTTTTTTTAAATTTTGAGGGCATATGTACAGAACTACATTTAAAAAAAAAATCACTGCTATTAAACAAAGCCAATTTAAAGCAACAGAAAATTTGTCTGAACCAACTTGTGCGACTTGCTTTGTCTGAAGTTGCAAGGAGAGAAAAATGCATTTGAATCATACTGATGCCTAAAATAGATTATATTTCTTCTGATACCTTAAGGACTATTTTATATTTATGAGCTCTTACCAAAGGCGTAAATCTATAAGAAAACTGTCACTTTTGAAAGCAAAGGGAATTACCCAGTAATTCACAAAATTTTAGAGATGCTCAAGAGCTTCAAGTAAGTGACCATGGAAAAAGCTCCACAGATATACTGACAGATATCAATTCACATCACACTTCTACAGTCGGTGTATTTTTTTCATTAAGAATCTATACATGGATTAGAAAAAGTGCATTGATTATTAGTGGCCGTTGGAAGCTTCTTGCTAACCTTTCCATCTGTAATCAGAGTTGCATATTAAATGATGCATTTCTGAGGTTTTCCTTTGCATGCTTTAGCTATTTACAAGAAAATGCATTCCCAAGCAAGTAATAGGCATGAATAACATACAATACTGAAATGTACCTGTTATAAGCTTTAAGATAAGATGTAAAGTTCCATCAAGCTACTCAATGTAGATCGCTACAGAACTTCACGAGTACAGAGAGCTTAAAATGAAACAGTAAGCACTTAATTTAATACGTGCTGCATCGATTTACAAGCCTGAAGCTCACCGACTACATAACTGAGCTGCATTTAATTTGGTTCAGGACATAAAAGTATGGGGTTTTTATAATAAACAATTTCATTAGGTAAAATTTTCTTTAGCTTACAAACTCCACAATTTAAATTTAATTTATTTTTTATTTTAAATTTGGTAGAGAAGACCTTACGACAATTCTATCAGCTTGTACCTTCCCAGCAAGGTGGACCCTAGCATCTCTCTCAATGTTTTGCAGTTGTTCTGAGAGAGCAGACTGGGGGTTTTGTGCCAAGTGAAACTGCTCTCGTCATTGAGCAGTATAATTCTTCTAGCATATTTCACAAAATTGTCAAACATTTATGTCTCTAAGCTACACATTTGTATAAAAAATTATTCAGATTACTACTGCAGGGCTATTACTTCAGAGACTATAAAGCTATCCACATTCTTATAGGTCCATACATTTCTCATCGAACAGCAAACTTCAATACAACACTTCTTGTGAGACTGTTCATGGAATTTAACAGTTCAGTTGGAGTTTAGATGCAGTTTGTATAAAACCCCTCTCTTTTCACGTAAACTACAATCAAAAATAACTTTACAAAATAGTAAGAGACTTACTGAGATCGTAAGTTTCCTAATATGTAAAACTATAAAGTATTTGTGCATGCTCACTATTTGATTTCCTTCTTTCTAACAGAGAAGTTGTTAAAAGGAGTTTGTTTGGTTTTTTACATCTCAAGGTAGCCTATGAAGTGGAATCGTCATCACAATTCAGATACACAAGATCAAAACTGGCACAGAGGAACGTAAGATTTTTTTCCCAAAAAGTTGAGGCAGCTTTTGTTGAATGGTGTCTGCATCGGTAAATTTTTTATAAACTCTGGTGGCTTTGGAGCATCAGAGAGAATCCTTTTTTTCTTTTGAGACCTTGCAAAAAAATTCTTACAAGTACAGACAGGTAAGGAGGAAAAGAAGTAGCAGCTTGTTTCCTACATACAGCCCAACGCCATGCGCAGCTGCCCAGCATCTCAAAACAAAATTGAACTCGACATCACAGGGAGGCATATCCCCCTCAAGTTACAAGTACGTCTGAGATTTCTCCGGGCAGAGGGAAGCAAGCACGAGGGTAAAGCATTAAGTCTCTACTGTTCATGCATAGCTACTGTGCGCTGCCCCACGTATGTGGCGCTTCGTCAGACATCCGAGTTGGAGCTGAGGTTTGTTAACCTGGGGTCTGCATTGATCTCGTATCTGTAGTGGTAGCCCTCCATGTGATCCCTACAGGCATCTCTGATGTTGTGCATCCACTTTTTGATTCCCTTTCGGTTCAAGTACAAAACCAGGAGGAAAATGGCCCCAATAAGAGCCAAGACTATCCCCAGGAAGACATATGAAGTCTGTAGCTGGGAAGGCAGGTCTATGGGCACGGAGCAGTTCAGGTCCGAGCCGTTGATCTTCAGCAGGGCTTTACCCAGCACTTTGTCGGGGTAGGTGCAGGTCAGGGCTTCTTCTTTGCCCTCCACCCGGTCGCTTTCCTTGAGCCAAGCCACCAGGTCCTCGACGGTGCAGTCGCAGACCCAGGCATTGCGGCCCAGGCTGACGCGCCGGAGGGCGGGCAAGCTGCGGAACTGGGCCAGGGTGCCATTCCTCAGCACGCCCAGGGAGTTGTCGCTGAGGTTGAGGCTCTGCAGCTGGCCCTGCCCCTGGAAGGAGACATTCTGCAGGCCCACCAGGGAGCTGTTGCCAAGGTCCAGCTGCCGCAGGGCGAGCAGGGCCGTGAACATGCCGGCGGGCAGCAGCAGCAGCCCGTTGTCAGCCAGCTCCAGGCGGCTGAGGTTGCGCAGGGCCCCAGACTGCAGCATGGTGGCCAGGCTGAGGAGGACGCCGTGGTCGCGCACGGCCCCGCGGAGGGCCAGCTCCTCCAGCGGGCTGCCACCCTCCCCGAAGGCCAGAGGGCTGAGGGAGCCCAGGGGGTTGCCGCTGAGGTCCAGTTGCCTCAGGGCGGGCAGGGCCGC